CCCTCACTCTGCCTCCTCCTCTCCTCCCTCACCTGCCTCTCTCCCCTCACCTGCCTCACCTGCCTCTCCCTCCTCACCTGCCTGCACCTGCCCTCTCCCCTCACCTGCCTCTCTCCCTTACACCTGCCTCATCTCCCCCCTCACCTGCCTCTCTCCCCTCACCTGCCTCTCTCCCTCTCCCTCACCTGCACCTGCCTCTCTCCCCTTTCACCTGCCGTCCTCAGGTGAGTCATGTGGCTGCTCAGATCAACTGCCACACAATGGTGCATTTGTCAGTCTGCTCTAACCTCTCCATTGATGAAAACACATTTAAACCGAAGTGATAAGACGACACCTCCTCCTCCGCGTTCACACGTCCCCGCACCATGTGGCAGTAATCAGCCAATGCACAAAACAGCTTTATTAATGGCTGAAGGACAAAGAGAGCAGGACGGAGAAGGAGCTTTGAATACACTGCTGAGCGCGAGTGTGTATGTACGTGCGCCGTCATTGGATGATAATACTCAGGACGGATGAGAGCCACTCTGTTACCTAGGCGACGGACAGGGCTGTAAACACGCTACCCCTGACTCATCCCTCCACAATAGAGGCTCGGGCGCCCAGTCTCCCTCTCTCACACTCACATTCACACAATGGACTCCAATCTGACAAAGACAAGAGGATCCGGATATGACAGCCACTCCAAGTCGCTTAGCTATACATGAGAAAAGGCCAGAGGGACGACGCTCTGGGAAACACACCATTATTTAAAGCTCCTATATTATGCAGAATTCACTCTTGTGAGCTTTAAGCCTTGTTATAATGCTGTTACCTCACCAAAAACATACATGGGGTTGTGTTTTGTCTCCTTCATTATTAGTCTGTCTACATCTCCAAAGCTCACAATGCTCTGTTCCACCTTGTGATGTCATGAAGCAGTAGTTTTCTAGTTTCTCTGGCGCCACCTAGTGCCTCCGCCCAATTACATTTCTCTCCAATAACTAGATCAAGAATCAGAATACACTAGACCGGGGGTGCAAACTACGGCCCAGGGGCCATATTCGGCTCTTTAATCTTTTTAATTCGGCCCGCCAAACTTGAATAATAATAATAATAATAATAATAATAATAATTTTCAGTGTTTTAAAAGTAGTTTCAATAAATAGTAAATACAGTGGGACTTGAAAGACAGATATTTTGTTGTAATGCTTTGTAATGATTTTAAATTACGGGATATTTCAGTAGCATGGGACAGATTTTCTACATATCCCATTTTATTTTTTTTTCTTACGAGGTGAATTACCAAAAAGCTCCATCCATCTCAATCAAAAGGTTTTCTAATTCTTTCGTGCCCAGTGCTATTAAATTATTAAATTCTAAGGGTACAGTTTTATGATAGTTTTATGAAAGTTTTACTCTGCAATTTGTTATTTATTTTGAGTTCCACTGGTGGACGACAATCGGACTGACACACTGTGTGTTTGTTTGTGTGTGTGTTTGCTCGGAGATGCTGCAAATGAATTGCCTTATGGGATCAATAAAGTTTTCTGAATCTGAATCTGAATCCATCTGCTCCTAGTCTGGCCCTTCTGTCAAATTTAAGAACCCTCTGCGGCCCACGAGTCAAAAAGTTTGCCCACCCCTGCACTAGATGGTTCATAAAACCAACAAAAGTGCGAGTTCAGGCACCAGCCAATCAGCAAAGAGTTATACATTCTGTGTTGGCAACGATTCCCAAAATCGAGGATTTAAAGCCAGAACAAAGAGAATGTTCGGTGAAGTTTATCAAGGGGAAAGATGTTATTGAGTTCTGGTAACTTATTTGGGTTTACAGTGTATGCAGTGTTTGTGCGTTAAACATGTGTGTATGAAACAAAACACAACTCCAGGTCTGTTTTTGTCAAATTGTGGAACATTCTAAGCAGAGCAATGGCATATCTATGGAAACGAAATGGTGATGGACCCCCTACCAAAATGCAATGTGAATATTTAATTTTGAACATATAGATAGGCCGACAGCGCAGTGAAAAAGTGTCTTGTCTAATTAGCGGTGTCTTTCTCAAAAACAGACTCCATTGTTGGACTTTGAAGGTGTTTGCATGAATGGAAACAAAAGCACAAAGCAAAACAAAGGAACAGTACAAACATGGAGAGAGGATTAAATTGAAATTAATTATGGGTGGAGAACATTGACAACCAATGAATACTGCAATATTTTTAGAGCATACTGATAACAGTTTTGAGACAATAAAGCGTACCTTAAACTGTAGTTAGGGTTCTCACTCTTTTTCACTGACAAAATTTCAAAACGTTTCCATGAGTTTTTCATGATTTTACGGCACCTACATGTGTAGAACTTAGGGCTAAATATTAAATTTATGTCTAAATATGAAATGTTAACCCTTTCCACTCACTTTATTTGGTTTGGTATTATAGTTTTTTAACATTCAAAATACTGTCAATGCAGTTATTGTTGTCTCTTTTAAACAAAAGGTGCATACGTTCAGAAATATTCATAACCGCCTAATGATAATTTAACAGAATGCTGGAGTTGCGTGAAAGAGATACTAAAATTCCATGACTTTTTCATTGAATTTCTAAAATTCCATGACTTTTCCGGGCCTGGAAAATGGCATTTTCAATTTTCATGACTTTTCCATAGGATTTATTACCATGGGGAGCCTGTGTAGTAGTTGAGGTTTAAGAGGTGTCAGACAAATGTGAAATTACACACAAACATACAGAAATACTATTAAAAACTTATTTGGCAGTGTTTGTTAATGTGTGCATTCTGTTTCCATGGGAACTGGTACACATACATGTAAAACTTACTTCCCCAGTGTGTTGTAACTGCAAAGTATCAATAAACAATATATTCATGGGTTTCATCTTACTGTTATGCATTATAATTATTGTGAGGAATTTTCCCCATATAACAGAATTATAATTTAAAGTATAAATCACTATGGCAACAGTCCTATTTCCCATGACTCTAAAACCCATCGATGGCTCCCCAATATTCACATTTGCATGTACTCAAAACAACATCCATCATATTATTGGTATTTTAAAACTTTGCCATTTACTGTGCTTTATTTATGGAACAAAATATTGTGACAGAATTTAAAATTTGCCCTGAACAAAGCTTTTTATTCACATTTTTACATTAAAGCAATTGTTTGGTCTGAGTGTAATTAAACCTGATCTCTGAAAGCTTTGTCGGTGCATTATGTTATTTATGTGAAAATGGCTTTTAATCTGTAAATGGATGTAGCTAACCATGTACCAAATAGCAAGTGAGCATGGGCGCGCTTCTGGCTTCATCCACTCTGGTTCTAGCCAGTCTGGTGCCACCTAGTGCTTCTGCTCGATTTCACTTCTTTTTAGTTACTAGGTCAGGAATCGGAATACACTAGACCAGAGGTGCTCACACTTTTTCAGCATGCGAGCTACTTACAAAATGACCAAGTCAAAATGATCTACCTAATACAAAGCCAAGCAAACTGCACTGAAACACTCTGTGCCCCTTTTTTTGGACCCTCACCCACAGTTTGAGAACCCCTTCTTTAAGAGAACTTCCTCTGGCACTTTACACAAAACTGTGAAAAAAGTGAAGGAAGATTTTTAAACCTGTTTTTTAAAGTTTCAAACTGGAGTTGCATTCTTTTCTGGTTTTGCAGTGATATTTACCAGCCTCTGCACGTTTACCAAACCAAACGCACATCGTGACAAACACAGATGCATTTGTGCACTTTTGTTGGACAAACTTCAGCCAAATGTGGCAGTAGACCTGTTCTGTAGATCTGCTCTATGCTGTAGACCTGCTTTGTGCCAACACTGGAACACAAATTTAGACTGGTTTTTGCTTCACGTTTCGTCTTGCTCTTCTAATCCGCCGCACTGTGGGAGGGGCTTGTGTTCGCTGTATGCAGGAAGGAGCGAGAGCGTGAAAAGGCGAGGGGCAGCGTGCTGACGTGAGGCAGATGGACAGGTAGGATGTTTAGGAAGTTTAACCTGCCCCGTGATGCATGCTGGTACACAAGGGCACACGCTGTTGCAAACGAGCCGTGCACAGGGAGCGTGTGTATTTGTGATGTGCCGTAGAGTCTCCGCGGGTTTCAAATGAGCGCACAGGCCGCACTGAGACGCCCCACACGCTCCTGCATCCCGGTACAATGAAATATAATCGCACTTGTTGAGTGTCAGACCTTGAGTGAGAGACAAGACCGAGTCCAAACGCGATCGAGTCTGAGACGAGTACTAAGACACGGCGATCTACCCACACGACCTTGGTGATCGACTGGTAGATCGGGATCGACATATTGCGCACTCCTGCACTAGACAGTTTGCAAGAACCCTGGAAGTGCGAGTCCGGGCACCAGCCAATCAGCGAAGAGCCATATATTCAGTGTTGTCAATGATTCCCGAGATCGAGGATTTAAAGCCAGAACAAAGAGAATGTTTGGTGAATTTTATCAAGGGGAAAGACGTTATTGCCGTTCTTCCTACGGGATTTGGGAAAAGCTTAATATACCAGTTTGCCCTGTTAGTGGAGCATTACATACGTCACGACCAAATAGCAGCGATTGGTTAAATAAAAAAAGTTCCCACCTACCGTCAAGTGAATGAATTCTAATGCTGCAAGGTCAGACGGTTTCTACGAAGTGAAACCGGTTTCTGCGAAGTGAAACCGTCTGATGAATCAGGCTGCTCTGGTTCCACTTCACTTGAAAAATAGTCAGCCCTCTCTCTGTAACTCAGTCTCGTTATTTTGGTCTTAAAATTTTCATACTAACCCATTCTACATGATTTTGGTGTTTTATTTTATTATTTTATCTGTAAATATTCCTGTTTCTAATATGAAAAACGGCTCAAAATTCGTATCTGTAAGCCTTGATGAGCTTCATTTGACTGGATCCTAACACTATAGTTGACGTCATACTCCCTTAGTCCGTTTCTTTACACACTCTATGGTCTGTTTCTGCTTTAATCACAGGAGAGCTTCATCTAACAGGGGGAGCATGACGCGTAAGCTGAGCAGCTCTACACGGTCGCCCACGGAGGACTCCATCTTCCTCAGGCCGGACGAGGACCCTGTGTGGCTGGACGAACCCACAAAGACTGATAAAATACTGGATGGATTTTCAAATAAAGACGAGTCGAATGAATGTAAAGACGCTCCCAACTCTCACGGAGAAGAACTGTTCCTGCACAAAGTCTACGCTCTGGTCGTCGAGATTCACTTCTGGGTGGCACTGTTTGCTGTGTCCCAGGTCACGGTATGTTGTCTAAACATTTACTCAGATTTGAATAGTTAAAGGGCCCATGTTTCGCTTTTTTCTGATCTATGTTATGATTGTTTCCTCATCAAAAACAGACCTGGAGTTGTGTTTTGTTTCATTCACACATGTTTAACTCACAAACCCTGCATTTTTAGGCTCCTGAGTTCTTGTGTTAAACTCAAAAAAACTCCATCTTGTTCATGTTTTTGAGGAGGTAACAACATTATAACTTGTCTTAAAGAGTAAATTTTGTGTAATATAGGACCTTTAAAGGAGAATTGTTGTGTTAAAATAGTGAGAGAGATTCTTCACATGAGAACAAGCACAGCTCGTGTCTGATTACTCGTGCATGAATGAGCATGCAAACACACAGCTTTACTTTCTGTTTCAGGGCTACTGGCTGTTCTTCGTGATGGAAGGAAATGGGCCATTTTCATCAATCTATAAAGCTCTGCAAGTAATAGACTTCTACCTTAGCTTCATCCTTCCATGCCACCCAATCCTCGGCGGGAATGTAAGTATCACTATTAGACAATTCAATGTTTTTATGTTGTAGAATATTATAATAACATACTCACAGATACTGTCTGGAGACAACATGTCTGTGTCGAGTCAAATTCAGACTGAAACTCAATACACAGAAGATGAATCCACAAATGTAGAACCTGATCATTTATAATAATGGGATTGTTAAATATTTCACGGTAGGAATTCTGCCTGCCTCATTCTCAGACACTGCACACTTGTACATTGCTCTTACAGAACATAACATGGTTTTCCCTGTGTGTTTCCAGTCCACATTACTGATGAAGGAGGTGGCCCACACTGAAGAGCACAAGTGGATTGTCAATGGCACTGCAGGCATCAGTGTTGCCATCTGCATCATCATGGTAAAACATACAGACAATACATTTATGATGGAAAATAAAGCTGTATATGTAGTTTGTTCTGCAAAGCATGTAATAATAGGTTATGTTTCATAAAATCATATAGAAACCTAATTCATTTAAGTTAAGTATTTAAAAAACATTTATCCACTTGTACTGTTCTGTTTTACTGTAGATCGTGCACATGGTGTGTAAGTGGCGCTACGGCACAGGTCTGTGGTCGGGGCCTGTCCCAAAGGAGCTGGGGGAGCGGCGTCAGTCTGTGAGCAGACAGCCCTCCTTCACCCTCTCTGAGTGGACTGATGCTCAGGAGGACCTCCTGGACCTAGAGCCTGTGCCCCAGACCCCAGTGTTTGACATCACAGACACTCGCACAGAGGCCGACTCTGCCACGCTCACAGTTACTCCAGTGGGGCTCCAGGAGCGGTCTGTGTCTTATTTGACTCACTAATGACTATATACTAGCATAAATAACTGTATGACATCATTGTTGACCTTCTCTGTCTGACCAGGAGGGGCTCTAATGTGTCCCTGACTCTGGACATGTGCACCCCTGGGTGCACTGAGCCCTATGGTTACGGGGCACAGCTCTCACCCAGAGACCAGTCGGCACAGGAATATCTCCGCCAGGGGACCCATGTCCTGACCCCTGCCCAGCTCCACAGCCGCGCCATGGACGACCAGGCCCTGCAGGCCGAGTTTTATGTGAGAGCAGCAGCAGCGCCTACACTCACTCCAGAGATTATTATAAGAGACACACTGAGAAGATCGGGACACACATACACCTAAACAAATACACACACCTATACAAAGACACGCACACTCCCACACAAACACCCAACGGAGCCACACGCCCGTGAGCTCCTCCAGAGCCACTCAGTGGGCGAAGGAGAATACATACAAGCATATTTGCATAATGAAAACCCATGAAGGATTGCAGTGTCTGCTAGGCACATGTGCACTCACACAAATATTCAAATATGCTACTGCATATTGTTATAAGTATAGAAAATAGAACAACATTTATTTCTAGTATGACTTGCACCTTCTACATGATAATAAAACTGTGGCATTTGTGGTGTTTTATCAACAGGAAACTCCCATGAACTTTGTTGATCCAAAAGAATATAATTACCCAGGGCTGGTGAGAAAGAACCGCTACAAAACCATCTTACCAAGTAAGCAAACGACAACAAAACAACAGAGAACTACAAATCTCCTACAATATTGTGAATGTAATGTTGTTTTTCACACCTGCTCCCACAGACACACACAGCAGAGTGATCCTAAAGTCAGACGATGAAGAAGACTTCCTCAGTACCTACATCAACGCCAATTATTTAAAGGTGAACCAGTGAAACCCCCTGGAGCATGTAGAGAGTTTTTGTGCATTCTGAGCGTGTGTTGTGTGTGTGCAGGGTTATGATGACGAGGAGCAGGCGTACATCGCCACACAGGGCCCCACAGTGAACACAGTGGGGGACTTCTGGAGGATGGTGTGGCAGGAGAGGTGTCCAATCATCGTCATGATCACAAACCTGGAAGAGAAGAATGAGGTTTGTTAAACTGTGTGTTATTCCAGTTAAATAAATGCTTTAATTGCTTTTAGTATTACAAGATGTGTTTTAATCATATAGTAGATATGAAAGGACACAACTAACTCGCTTGCCACCGCTTTCCAAATAATACATGAGCACGGGCGCACCTCTGGCTCCACTGACTCTGGCTCCATTTCACTTTGTACTGAAAAAAACGTCACCCTTCTGTTGTCGAAGTTCTCAGCTTGTCCAAGAAAGGGTGGAAGTAAAAGGCTGGAGACAAACTGGACTTCTTAAGCAGGAGAAGTTTATTTAACTTCAATAATTGGGCCCAGGGACTTGAAAAGTAAACACAGTAGGATTTCAAAAGTGAGAATAGTGTGATCTTTGAGTGTTCAAGCCCCTTGACTCTGTTTCCAATGGAGGAAGTTTATAAAGCAAGTGTGGTGAGACTATGAAGGCCAGTAGTCACCAGTTAGACAGAAATATTGCACAGTTTAGATAATGGCATGTCAAGGGAAGATCATGGTGTAAATATAGCTTTTGTGAGTCAGTGTTAAACTGAGATGTACGTGGAAGATAAATTACTTAAATTCTCTGTGTAACTGCATCTGCGAGCCTCCTCATTTTGGTCTTAAAATGTTCGTAGTAATCCGTTCTACATGATCCTGGTGTTTGTATTTCGCAGTTTTGTCCATAAATCAATTCCTTTTCCCAATATCAAACTCTGCTTCAAACTCGCTCCTATAACTTCAAACTACTCTAAGCTTCATTTGACTCTCTTTGTCCACTTCTTTATACAGTCTATGGTTTAAATATTATTCTGTTTTATTTTATTAGTCTCTGGTTTACGCTTTAAATATTAACAGACGCTTTAAAATGTCTGATTCTCTGATGATGCGTGTTTCAGAAATGTGCGGAGTACTGGCCTGAGGACACCGTGACCCACGAGGGCATTGAGATCACGGTTGTCTCGGTAACGCAGGAGGACGACTACAGTCTGAGGGTGTTTACTCTGAAGGTGAACTCATGTCAATGTGGTACACGCTCCGGGCGCATTAACACGCCACTGTTCAAGTTAATGCAGTATAAAATATTCAAACATAAATACATTAGGCTAATTATGTTTGGATATGGAGGGTTTCAAATGGCATCACGTTTTATCAGTGGGTTTCAGAATGATAAAAAAATAATTGTTTCATTAGGGATGCACTGATCTGGTATCTGGTATCGGATATCTGCGGCTGTACTGGAAAATTCAAAATATCCGTCTCATCCAATGTCATAAATGGACATGTAAATTGATATAATAAGACTATTTCCTGCTCATATTTGGCACTATCATGTCATAATGATGCAAGGGACGTCGTTTGGGCTCAGCTTTGGTGGGGACAATATCAGAAACCGACTGATACGTTACTTGATTAACAGCTTAATTATATAATATTGTTTACTTTTTGTATGATGCACACTGCAAAAACTAAACAGTACATCTTTATAATCTTTATAAGAAAGGGTAAAATGGGATAAGAAGTTGTGTATATGTTTTATGAATTATTTCCAAAAGCACACAGAGTCTGGGCAGGTCCAAAATAAGTGAGGGGTGCTTTCATTTTTCAAGTTCGCAAAATGTACAGTTTGTGTCCATTGATTATTCTTTGTAGATGTAGAAGTTTGTAGCAGATTTCCCTTTGCTTTACTTGTTGGTGATGAGATATTTGTGAGGTAATGTCCGTACATTTTTCCATGGAATATTGTCAATAGTCGCTCTTTTTCCGCGGCGACTCGTTATAAGGCGAGTTTAATTGAAGATGAAGCCGAGTAAGTTCCTTTTAAAAAGTTTTTCAAAGTTTGGTGCAGAGTCTTCACTCACGCCTGCTCAAGACGACATCTTCGGGTGCTGGCTCTGGTTCTGGAGGAGTGGGGGGTGGTCCTGGATAGGAGCGGGGGTGGTCCGGGCTCTGGTTCTGGTTCTGGAAGCGTGGGGAGTGGTCCGGGCTCTGGTTCTGGTTCTGGAGAAGCGTGGGGTGGTCCGGGCTCTGGTTCTGGAGGAGTGGGGGGTGGTCCGGGCTCTGTTGGTTGTGACATGTCCCAACCGTCCCTATGCAAACCTACGCCTTTGTAATGATGTTCTGTAGTTACTAACATCTACATAACACATTTGGATCAGTTTTGTCTAATTTTATTTTTGTTTTAAGGAAATAAATGCTGTTTTTAGGTATCAGCAAATACTTAAAGCTGTAGTATTGGAATTGATATTGGAACTGAAAAAGCTGGGTCAGTGCATTCTCAGTTGTGTAGCAATAAATTTGCAGTAAAACAAACTGTCTTTTATATATTTTGAATGTTGAAAAGTTGTCAAAATGTTGCATATAACACGAAGCCGAAACACATGAATAGACCAATAATATTTAACACAGATGAGGGCAGCTCAAATAAATACTGATGAAATGCAGATTTTTGTTATAATATAGTGAGTTTAGTCACTATAGAAATGATCAGATTCAGCATTTCTGAAATTTAAAAAACTGCTCTTATCACCCGTCTGAGAGTATGACATCTAGAATCTGAAAACTGCCAATAAAAACCTGTCAATAATGTGCATTTTGACGTGTGTTGCAGCATGAGGGAGAGGAGCGTAGTCTGCGTCAGTACTGGTACACCTCATGGCCAGATCAAAAGACGCCGGACAAAGCTCCGCCCCTCCTGGAACTGGTACAGGAAGTGGAAAGGGCCAGAGAGGAAGCCCCGCCCTCCAGTGGTCCTACAATTGTGCACTGCAGGTACGTTTGCTTCGTATAATGCATAATGTAAAGACGATAGTTAATTATGGTGAAGGTGTATGGAGTTTAAAAACAAAAGCGCTCCCTGTGTTACCACTTAATGACATCACAAGGAGAAGCAGAATGGAAGAAAAGAGCACAGCCTAAACATGCAGGATTTGTGTGTTAAACATGTGAATGAAACAAAACACAACTCCAGGTTTGTTTGTGACGAGGAAATTACATTATAACTTAGATCAGAAATAGTGCAGTACAGGTCCTTTAACCCTTTGCACCCCTAGGTAGATTTTGGAACTTCGTGACTTTTATTTTTAGTATAACTTTGGCCATATTGCACCAAATAGCATCAAAATTGGCCAGTTTGTGTATTTTGCAATGTATTTTTAATGTCTGTGTTCTTTTTTTCAAGATCACATTAATTAAACGGTCTATAATCAAAACACTCACACCCGTGGTCCTTCGGTGCATTTTTGTCCCATTGACTTCCATTCAAAATGACTGTTTACTGGCATAACTTTGCCCGTTTATTTTTACTTTTGATTTATTTTTCATTCTTTGGGGTTGAAACCCCTTTAAAAAAATTTGTTTTAGAGTCTTTTTGAATTTTTTGATATTTTTCTTATCTTAGGTTATATCAATAGAAAGACATTTGTATATATGAGTCTACACTGAAGATCAGAGATGTAGATATTTGATGTAAAAATGATTTGGGTGTGTTCTGGAGGAGTCCCAGAGTGCACTGAATGTGTTTGTTTGGGAGTGTGTGTGAGTTTGTGTGTGTGCAAATTAAAATTAGTTGGAAAATATAGAAAAAAATATCAAATTTTTTCATTTTCCACATAATTTGAGACTTTCACAAACAAAGCTGGTATTTAACGTGCTCAAATTTCATATAATATTTGGTATGTATGATTAGGGCAGAGGTAAATGAAGACACTGATATAAAAAAGTTGGACAAAAATTTGTGTTGCATAAAAATATTGTGGTTTTCTTTTTCAGAAGGACCACAGGTGTAATTATTTTTAAAGAGGTGCACAAGGGTTAATCAAACATCTGTTCATCCTACAGTAATTATGTTTTCCTCTTGTATTTCCTCATTGCCGTGTGTTTAGTGCTGGAATCGGACGGACTGGCTGCTTCATTGCCACCTCCATCCTGTGCAAGCAGCTGAGGACCGAGGGCGTGGTGGACATCCTGAGAGCCACCTGTCAGCTCCGTCTGGACAGGTATTTTACCATCACCATGTTTTTATTTTTAAACTGTCAGAAAATGTGTGAGAAAAGGAGATTTATGGACAGTTACCAAAGTCCAAGTCTTACCAGCAGGTTTGTTCTTGTAGCTCAGATGTGCACTGTGTAACTTTTCTGTTTCTGCTGCTTCAATCCATGGAGATGTCGCCTGGAATGTCTCACAGTATGGCATTACTTTTATTTATCTCTACGGAGACAGCAGGTGACACCACAGTAAGAATCCAAGTTTTTAGATCAACAAGAAGTCGTGTTATAGAATAGAAGCAAGATGGAAAACTTTTAATTCCGTACTGAAACATTCCAGACAAAAACGACAACATTTCCATGGAGACAAGCAGGTGGCACATCCTCCATCAGAAAAGTTACACAGTGAACCTTTAATACTTTGTTTAAGAACCAAACATTGATCATCCTCTGTTGGAAATGTTCTGGTGAATAAAACATACTCTCTATTCTTCTAAAGTGCCCTGGTACTGAGTCATGTTTGTTTTAAATACATTGTTTTGTTTGCTTACCTGTTCAGGATTGGTTTTGTTTTCTTATTTGTTATCTGCTTAACTATATTGTGTTGAGTTTAAGCCTGTGTTTTGTGTGTGTGTGTGTCAGGGGCGGGATGATCCAGACGTGTGAGCAGTACCAGTTTGTGCATCACGTCCTGAGCCTGTACGAGAAGCAGCTTTCCCACACCTCTGAAGAGTGACCCCTCCCTCCTCCCCCTCATCCTGCACCCTCCTCCCCTCCTTCCCTCTCTCTCTTCCTCCTCCTCTTTCCTCTCCTCCCTCCCTCCTCCCTCTCCTCCCTCCCTCCTCCCTTCTCCTTCACCTCCTCTCTCCTCCCTCTCCCCCTCCCTCTTCACCCGTCGAACGTCCCCAGACTGAGACACGCCACTGTACACTGAGCCACCTCTGGTGGAGCGCACCACTGTAACTATGTCATCACAGCCAGGAGCCCACATCTCTCACCCATACACAGCGCAGGCTTTATCAGTTTGGGACATTTGTGCTTACTGTATGTTTTTGTGCAGAAGAATCCAGAGAGTCGGGTTTAAGATATTTCCAAGAATTTTGTAATGCACATTAAATGTTTATTTAAGTTTCACAAGGAGATTATGATGCCAAAAGTGTTTAAATTATACAGTATTGATCCCTCACTCACATAGCAAGTGTTTAATATTAACTCCTGCCAAATGTGATTCAGTATTATCAAGAATAAGATGTTATAGTTCTCAACAGACTGGCAGCTTAAAGGTTTGCTCTAAAAGTGTCAGTTACTGCTCCCATGAAAGCATCAAACTCCAGCCTCATATTTATATTCTGTATAATCTGTATCATTTGATTTATGAACTGTTTTATTTTTCCACATTCAGGAGACATCTCATTTTCAGGTTGCATGGTGCTATGTGTTCATAAAAGGCATGTGCAATGTTGAACATAGGAATGTAAATTAGGTCAATAATGAATTCAAACCAAACTCCAGTGTCACAGCTCCATGTACTGTTCTTACACCTGTGTTCACACAGAACAGTTCCACATTAAGGCCACACAGACACAGACACGCAGAGACATCACACAGCCAGAGGGCTGCAGACGAGAAGCCACAAATAGAATAACTCCATCAGAAAAATCAATCCTGTGAAAACAACACCCAAAGTGGCTCTGGCCTGTGTTACAGAATGGTTTTCTAATACATGTGTTTACATCATCAGAGCTCTCAGTGAGAGAGACTGTGTGATGGCTCTGCCTTTGGGAGCTGGAGGACACCACAATGACGTAAGCCCATGATTGTTGTATAGACGGGCCCAGCCTAATCTGTATGAAGCACAACAGACCGGTCACGGTTCTCTGAAGTTAAGCTGTAAAACTTATTTTTCTGTATTGTGTTTTGATTGTGTTAAGTTAAATGAACTGCATGTGCTGTATGGGACCTGATGGGTCCAAAATCAAGCGACGTGATTGGTTGTCCTGCTTTTTGTTGTGTACAAAGTTTTAAGCCTATATATTGCTTGCTCTCGGCCAATGCTTTTGATACAGTTTGCTTTTGTGAAACCAACCAGAGATATTTTTAGAACATTTTGATACGATCCTTTCGAGTAGATGCCTTGTGTATATTTCTGTTTACACCATGATGGAATGTAGCGCATACTGTGGATCAACACATTGGTTTCTAATGCAAGATTTGACAGAGAAAATGTGACAACTCCCTAAGTTTCTTTAGAGCACAGAAGACTTGTTTGGGTCCTCAGTATTTCTGTTCTGCCTTTAGGCTTTGCTTTAATATGCTTTGCTGTATGTGAACATTTTATTATTTTATTGGAAATTTTACCTCAGACTGAGTTTACACACAGTCCTCTCATCTGTGGCTAGTCATAGGTCATAGTTCACAATATGACAAATAAATGCTAAGTGTTAGGCAGCTATAAAAGTGACAGTTTTCTATGTAACAAAATCAATCATGTGACAAACGCATCCAATCAAACGACTTGAACATCGTCAGAGGGGGAATAATGTGAGTGTGTAAATACACATCAATACTTATTATTCTTTACTGACAGTTAACCAGCTAAAGGTACAAACATCCTGTTTAATGAAGTTGTGTTTCCATCGCTTGTTTGATGCTTTTTGGTTTTGAAACCAAAAAAGGGACAGTGAGATTTTGGATCATGGACATACACAACCAGCAAATCAGTATTCCTCCTCTCTGCTCCAGTATCGCTTTGAGTTGTGAGTTTTGCATCCAAATAAAAATAGATTTTCATGAATTTTGGTTTTGAATTTATGAATTTTGTTTCAACACATCACCAAATAAAAAAGAAAAACACATCATAGCCTATATAACATCCAATTTATTATTACCATTATTGGTTATATTATCAGACAAACAAAAACATACAATTACGTAGAAACTCTTGTATTCCTAAAATAGGTCAAGAAAACAAAATCATAATAATTTTAATTTCCAGCCTCTTAAACCTGAGCATCATTTACTTGTGAAGAGTTATTTAAAGCTCATTCATTAAATCTGCCTTGTAAAGTTCACTTCATTCATTTCCAAACTGCCAAAGACCCCGAGGGACCAGTGAGACAAAACGTGCAGTTCAATTTTTCACCACTAGATGTCAGGAGACCTATACAGAACAGCCTGTCACTTCGCGTTTCCATTGAGAAACATTCATCACTCGGTCATTCTCATAGACTCCAGTGTGAATATAGGGCACAGTGGAATAAGCACAAACCAGAATACTGTATTAGACACTACTAGGAAATTAAAGATCGTAGAAAATGTCAAATTTTCACGGAAGGGAAATCGATTTAATCAATAAAACTAAATAAAGTGAATGCATATATTTATATTTTCCAACAATTTCCATAGATTTTGACGTGCTCATGTTGTAATCTGTTTTATATTTTTGTAAAATAAGTAAGGCAAGGCAAGTTTATCCGTATACCACAATTCGTACACAAATTCAAAGTGTTTTACAGGTGCAGAAAAGCATTAAAATCATAATACAAACAATAAATACAAATAATAAAATAAAATGTCAACTGAAATATCAACAAAAAATAGAAAAATACACATATTACAATTCCTATTCTTATTTTAAATGCAGATACTTCTTATATTTGTCTATACCAGCCCCTTTAATTGACTTTTATAAATTTTACCTCATGCATGGACTAAAGCTGCTGCGTTTTAAATTGACATTTTGTGTAAGGCAACCTCACTTTTTCATTGCTTAAATCATAACATAAAGTCTTACCAGTCTTACCAGCTCGTCAAAACAAAGATATTTACTGATTTTTATAAAGAAATACAGTTAATATAGAATTTACGCATTTTGACGCGATCCTTCACAGTATTTTCTGTTTTTCACGTGGTCCCATTCAAAAAATAATTACTCATTCTTGATTTAGAGGTTGTTGTTCTTATTAGTAATGATTATTTTTCTGTAACAAAGCTCGGAGTGTCTCTTTAAAAGCTGGACCTCCGCTTAAATCCACAGATCATCGCGGTGACGTTACGCAGCCCTGAGCTCCGCGCGCTGATTGGCTGCCGGTGACGTCAACCTTATATTTTTCAGTTTTTTTTTTTTTTTTTCCCTCCTCTGAACCGTGACCTCACCGTTTTGGTTCATGAAAGTGCCAATGTGCAGCTTCAATAACAGCCGCGTTTATGGCTTGTGTAAAATAGATTAAACATTCAAAGCAGGTTCAAAGAAAACAGAATTAACTCCCTGTCTCCATTTACGATCTTTACGTTGACTGAGCGTGTTTTTTTTTTTCTTTTTTCTTTTTTCTTTTTGTTTTTCCTGGCGCTGTCACACGCTGTCAGCTGTAGCCCCCCCTTTGACAGGTAAACACGCCAGAACAGCGCCACGAAGATTTTTTTTTTTTTTTTGGCGCAAATGTCCGGCGTGTGAATGACAAGGCGTCCGCGCGGAGCTTCCGGTGAGCACCCTTTCATCCTGAATGCATTTTATGTCATTTTATTATCACAATTTATTACGTAGTGCGTGGCTATCTGTGAGCTAGGCTAGTATGTGTGTCCCAGCCCCTCCTCGCGCTGCTGCAGTCTCTCCGCGAGGCGCGCACGTCTCAGAATTGGAACAAACACAGCCATCCAAGCTAAAAAAAAAAAAAAAAAAAAACAAAACACGCGATTATTTAATATTACGACACACATTCGCGACATTTTGAGACGTGATTGCGTAAAGGTAAGTACAATTCGCATTTCTTCAGCGTTTATTCCTGTTTATCCTTTGCGGTTATTTTATTATGAGGCTCTAGTGCGATCAATGGAGAGCTTCGTACTGTAGTTCACACGCCGACATAAACGCAACGCAAGATTTCTAACATTTTTTACGTTATTTTGGGTTTAATTCGCGCGTTCACTGCCAGGTTTTGATGATAGTGGGTGATAGTAACCGTGAATGCGTGTGCGTAAATATCTGGGTCGGTTTATTTTAGCCTCTACGACGGCGCGCGCTCCATTATTGTTATTGGACGTGATCAAAAGTGCCCTCCGCGTCCCATTTAGACGTTTATAGCTCGTACTGGTTCTGAGATACACACACGCTGCACCATTACCACTGTGATTTTTTTTTTTCTTTCTTTTCCCTACTGTGTCTGCTCTGCCCAGCCTTTAAACAGGTGCAGCAGTTGTTGTCTGGGCATTCCCATTTTGATACATGACTCCGGAGTTTCCTGCCGCATCACGGGGAATATTGATCTCCAGAAAACTCCAGCCTAAAATGATCGAGGCGCTGCTGATTACGAGGGAAATGAACGTGGCTTCAGTACATGCTGTTTTACGTAAGATTTAAAGGTGCATTGTGAAGCTTTTCTGGTGGAGGAGCGTCCGTCAAATTAATGCTTTTCTACACTAGAGATGTTATTGCTTGGTCCGGAATGTTTCATAGTGTGGCTTTAAAGCTTTCTATCTGCATGGAGATCAAACCAGAGCAAGTTACAGGTCAGATCTGTGGAGAAGTGACCCCGCTCACTGTCCGAATGCCTGTTTTTCAAGGGGTTTTTAGCGTTAAAACCAAATCTAGGGCTGCTCGATTATGGAAAAAAAATCATTATCATGATTCTTTTTGTCAATATTGAAATCACAATTATTTAAACGATTATTTTTTAGTTACACGATGCATTTATTCAGCATTTCTCTCTCAAAAAAAACACTTTGTTATTGATAATTTACGCAAACTTTCAAATTGAAAATAAATATAGGCTACAAATTTGTACCTTTGAGCAGTTTTCTGTTGTATAAAACAAATGAAAATCAATGAAAAATGAATAAATTATATTTTGAACATGAAATAAGGCATAGAAAAACATAAATATATCCAAAATAAACTATATATCCAAATTAAATGAACATACTTATAATTGCACAGCCTCATTCAAAGCAGAGCAATGACATATCCGTAGAAACAAGCAAGTGACAGACCCACCAACCAAAAAGTCACACTGTGTACCTTTAATGTATTTATTTTAGATGTAACAATAACCGAAATATTGTGATATCATATCGTCAGAGTTCTCACAATAATATCGTGGACCATCACAATATATCGAATCACAAGTCTCTTTGCTTAAATTAAGTGTTATGGTGCAGTAATAGCTAAAAAAAGACAGAGAACTACATAGACCATGATCCTTTGCTCCATTTCAGTGCAGACTACAAGAAGAAATAACAGTTCTAAGCACTTTTAAGTCTTAATTCTTCAGATTAAGTCTTGTCGAGGCATTTTAAGAGGAACAAGTTGCATATTCACAGTTTTAGCTCCACAAAATGTTGCAATAACGTGAGATGTATATCGTGAAAATATCGTACCGAGAGATTTGGATATTGTTACAGCGCTAATCATGAACTTCCCCTCCATACCGTGAGCTTTCCCAAGATTTCTCAATAAATATAAATATCGTATCAAGAGACTTGGATATCGTTACACCCCTAGTATTTACCATTTATAGCGTTTACTCTGCAATCACAAACAGCATGGTTATATATATATGTACCTTCATCTTGGTAATTATACAATAATAATAACACATTTTATTTGTTAAGCGTCTTTCTGGACACTCAAGGTCGCCTTACAACAACATAAACAGGTTAAATACTATTATTATACAGTTAAAAGTGGGACAGTATTTAATTTTAATTGAATTTAATTGACCTCCATTACCCATTGTCCCTATCATTACCTCATGACAATGTGTAATTAAAGACAATAAATTATAATATTTTATTGAAAGTCACTAACGCAATGGACAAAAATAGATCCCATATTTGGCTATTTTCTGATCTATGTTATATTGTTTCCTCGTCAAAAACAGACCTGGAGTTGTGTTTTGTTTCATTCACACAAGTTTAACACACAACTCCTGCAGATTTAAGCTTCTGTCAAACTGAAAACACTCTGTTCCACCTTGTGATGTCATGTAGTAATCCAGCAAGTGCCCCACACCTTCACGAGAATCATTTGGATGATTTGAGACCTGGAATTGCCAAACTCTACTGAGCAAAATGTGAAAGCAGCTGTAACTAAGCTGTAAACTTATGCTTCATGACATCACAAGGTGGAACAGAGGATTTTGAGCTCTGGAGATGTAGACAGACTAATAATAGATGATTAAAAATGTGCGAAACAACCAAAACACAACTTCAAGTTTGTTTTTGAGGAGGTAACAACCAGTGTCGGGAAGGTTACTTTTAAAATGTATTCCCCTATAGATTACAGATTACATACCCCAAAATGTAGTTTGTAACATAATTCATTAAATTACCTAAAGTGAGTAACGTAATCTGAATACTTTGGATTACTTGATTTGCTGTAGAGAAGCAAAGACAAGGATATTTTCGCATAAGAAGTTTTGTCTGCTTAAAGACAATAAAAAGCCCAGATTTTCCTTAACTGTATTAAAAATATTATTGATAGAAGAGGAGGAGACACGGTCCACGTGGCATGGTTTAGTCCTGTTAAATCCTGGTTTAGACCTGGTTTAGACCTGGTTTTAGTCCTGGTTTAGACCTTGTTTAGTCCTGTTAAATCCTGGTTTAGACCTGGTTTTAGTCCTGGTTTAGACCTTGTTTAGTCCTGTTAAATCCTGGTTTAGACCTGGTTTAGTCCTGGTTTAGACCTTGTTTAGTCCTGTTAAATCCTGTTTAGACCTAGTTTAGACCTGGTTTTAGATCTGGTTTAGACCTGGTTTAGACCTGGTTTAGATCTGTTTTAGTCCTGGTTTAGTCCTGGTTTAGACCTGGTTTAGACCTAGTTTACACCTGGTTTTAGATCTGGTTTAGACCTGGTTTAGACCTGGTTTAGTGTCCGGCAATGACTGGAATAACAGGTAAAAAAGGGGGGGTGATATAGCCCAAAATGTAAAACAGGAAAATATTGCTGTGTAATCCACTTATTTCAACCAAGTAACTGTAATCCAATTACCACTCACTGAAACAGTAACTGTAACTGAATACAGTTACTCATAATTTGTACTCTGATTACGTAACTCCGGTACATGTAATCTGTTACTCCCCAACACTGGTAACAACTAGGGCTAGGTATTGTTCAGAATTTGGCGATATAATAAATAAGAATAAATAAGAATAAGAATAGTGCAGGATTACTCAAGCATGAATGAATAAATGAAACAAAACACAACTCCAGGTATGTTTTGGATGAAGTAACAGCATTATAACATGATTTAAAGCTCACACTGACCTATTTTGTGTCATTTAGGACCTTTAAAAATGTTTGTTGTCTTTTACAAACCTCACCGCAAAACTGCAAACACGGCTCGTAATATGTCGTTTAATTTTAGTGTTTCCAAATCCAACATGTGTAGTCTGGATAAACAAACACAGTGAGCATGGATGCAAATTAAGGTTCAGGAGGACGAGGAGGCGGCGTTTGAAAGGCTCAGGGAAAGCTCTGGTGATGTCACTGTTTGTGTCTAAACAAAAAACTCCAGCCTCTCATTGTACCGGGCTAAAAGGCACTCTCACCGCGGCCCTCTCCAGACGCTGGCCCCAGGTGACGTTATACAGCACTTAATGAATAACCTGTACACCATTACATCATCTCCGCTCGGCCTGTAGTAGCTCCCATTGTGTTTGTCTTGGTTACTGAAGTCTTTGAAGGCTTTTAAAGACATATAATACTCACTAGGGATGTAACAATAACAGAAATACCATGATATCGTATCGTCAAAAGTCTCAAAATAATATCGTGGGCTGTCACAATATATCGAATCACAAGTTTATTTGCTTAAATGCATGGTTTTATAGTAGGAACAGCTTATGAACATAGAGAACTACATATCCCATGATGCATTTCAGCGCAGACAACATGAAGAAATGTGTTTTTTACTTGAATTCTTGGGATTATGAAGAAATAACTCACACTAAAATCTTGTCAAAGTATTTTAAAAGCAAAAAAGTGTCCGATCTACAGTTATATCAGCCTCTCCAAAATATCCCAATAAATATCGTTCCATGAGATGTATATCATGATATTTGGATATCGTTACATCTCCAACACTTACTCATGCTTTTTGTGGGCATTAAAGGTATGCAAAATAGACTCTTGTGAGCTTTTAGTCATGTTATATTGTCGTTATGGGTGCGCAAAAATATTGAAATATTGGTATATCGTATTGTTTATTGTGATGATACAGTATCGATATCATGGGCTGCTCTATTTATACATCGCCAAGAGTATTTTTTGGAATATTTTACTAAATTATTGTGTTACAGCGCTACAGTTTTGTTGCTTGTTTAGAGGAAGGAAACTTGTTTATGCAACACATTTGACATTTTCACTGTTTTGATGATTAAAATGTTTTTGTTTCATATGAACTTTGCACAAGAAGTGGTTTTTGGGGATGTAACGATATCCAAATATCATGATATACATCTCATGGTACGATATTTATTGGGATATTTTGGAGAGGCTGATATAATTGTAGATTGGACACTTTTTTTGCTTTTAAAATACCTTGACAAGATTTTAGTGTGAGTTATTACTGTCATAATCCCAAGAATTCAAGTAAAAAACATATTTCTTCACGTTGTCTGTGCTCAAATGAATTATGGGATATGTAGTTTCCGATGTTCATAACCATGCATTTAAGCAAAGGAATTTGTGATTGGATATATTGTGACAGTCCATGATATTATTGTGAGACTTTTGACGATACAACAATATTTTGGTTATTGTTGCGGCAGTAGTTCAGTTGGTAGAGCGTTCGCCCACTGATCTGAAGGTTGGTTGTTTGATTCCAGCTCTTGACATAAAACATCACAGGTTGAGCGGTCAGATCCACTGACCCACAGGTTGGCTGGTGTGATTCCAGCTCCCACAGATGAATGCTGTCGTTGTGTCCTTGGACAAGACACTTAACCCTTCTTGCCCACAGTGTCTGTGTACACTGGTGTGTGAATGTGTGTGTGAATGGGTGAGTGGTTCCTTGTTGTAAAGTGCCTTGAAGGTGGAAAAGCGCTATAGAAAATGTGACCATTTACCATATTGTTACTTTCCTAGTGGTTTAACAAAGACTTTTAGTATCACAGCCATGATTTAGTCTTTATTTTTTATTGAACTATATTGAGGCATGTATCCTATCAGCAACTTCTGAATGATACCCAGCCCTAGTTGTTACCTCCTCAAAGACAGACCTGAAGTTGTGTTTTGTTTGTTTCACACATTTGAGTGATCATCTGTTATTAGTCTGTCTACATCTGCAAAGCTCAAAATGCTCTGTTCCGCCTTGTGATGTCATGAAGCAGTAGTTTTCAAGTTAACATCTACTGCTTTTAAC